ATTGTAAGTCTAGCTACAACTTTGGTAAATAAGTGAGTAGAAAACTTGCAGAAATAGTTGATCTAAAGAATCAGGGAGTTTTTGAAAGGGTAGCTGAGAATCAACGTGCAGCCCAAGTGGATGTAAGACCTACCGGAACCGCAGTAGGTTTGGAACCGACATTTGATAAAACCTGGCGTTTACTTGAACAAAACAATGTGGGTATTATTGGTTTACATGGCTTGGGAGGAGTAGGTAAAACAAAACTCTTGACCCAAATTAACAACAAGTTAAGCAATGACCTAATGGGTTATGATGTTGTAATTTGGGTGGTGGTGTCTAAAGATCACTACATCGAAACGGTTCAAGAAAAAATTGGTCAAAAGCTTAGCCTTTCACATGATGAGACATGGAAGAATAAAAGTTTTGATGAGAAAGCTGTAGAAATTAGGAAAGTTTTGAGCAAAAAAAAGTTTGTTATGCTGTTGGATGATGTGTGGGAGCGGGTGGATTTGATCAAAGTTGGCATACCTGAACCGGATCAGGAAAATTGTTCTAAATTAATTTTTACGACTCGCTCTTTAGATGTATGTGGACAAATGGGAGCTCATAAGAATATCAAAGTAGAGTGTTTAAGCAAAGCTGATGCTTGGAAATTGTTTGAAGAGAAGGTTGGAGAAGAAACCCTTAACAGCCATCCAGCAATTCGAGGGCTGGCTAAACAAGTAGCTGCAAATTGTGGAGGACTACCTCTTGCACTGATTACAATTGGTCGCGCCATGGCTTACAGCACGATGCCTAAACACTGGGAACATGCAATTAAGGTTTTGGAAGAGTTTCCGCATAAATTAGCAAGCATGGATAAAGAGGTGTATTCTCTTTTAAAATTTAGTTATGATAACTTACCTACAGACACTATGAGATCTTGCCTTTTGTACTGTAGTTTGTATCCCAAAGATTTTGAAATTCCCATCGATGAGCTGAAAGATTATTGGTTTTGCGAGGGAATTTTGGATGAATCTGACAACATAATTGATGCTCGAATGCAAGGGGAGGACATTATCAAGCATCTTGTTAATGCTTGTTTATTAGAAAGATGTGGAGATTTTGCAAATCGCGTAAAGATGCATGATGTGATTTGTGACATGGCTTTATGGATAGCTCGTGAGTGTGAAGCACTTGAGAAGAGATTTTTCGTAAGAACAGGGGTAAGATCAATTAAGGTAGTTGACGATGAAAATTGGAAAGTTGTAAGAATGTCATTGGCGTATGGTCGAATTGAAGATCTAGAAGGAACACCTACATGCCCTAATCTTCAAACTCTATTTCTCAACAATAACCAGTTGAAGGTGATTAGGGATGGTTTCTTCCAATTTATGCACAATCTGAAAGTTCTAAACTTGTCATCAAACCACTCCCTATGTGAGTTGCCACAGGGAATTTCAGAACTGGTTTCACTAGAGTGTCTCGATCTACAAAAGACAAAAATAACTGAGTTGCCAATTCAGCTTAAGAAGTTGTCAAAACTGAAATATTTGGACTTGAGGGGGACAATCTGTCTCTTTAAAATCCCACGACAATTGATACGTAAATTTTCTATGTTGCAGATATTCAAAATTTTTCCAATCAATGTTTCCAGGGCTGACATAGACAGTGTCCTAAACAGAGGTAGTGAAAGTTTAATAGAGGAATTGAAATTCTTGCAACATTTGAATGTGCTGTGGATGGAAATAAACACTGATGTTGCTCTAGAAAGCCTTTTGAGCTGCCACAACTTACGAGGATGCACTGAGCGACTACTTCTCAAATATCGAGGGCAGAAAAAGGTATTCAATGTTTTGTTCTTGGAAAATATGGAGCGTTTAAAGAACCTAGAAATTAAGAATTGTGATAGCATAGAAGAGATGGTAACAAGGAATATAGAGGAGGAATCAGGGGAAAGAAGAATGATAAAAACCTCCCCGCTCTTTCCCACTAATAGTAATAATATCACTCCTCGCTTTCATGCACTGACCAAGATTTCAATAGACTCTTGTCGCAGCTTGAGGAACCTGACATGGCTTATTTTTGCTCCCAATCTGATGCGGCTTGAGGTAATTTGGTGCACAAGAATGGAAGAAATAATAAGTGAAGTGAGTGAAGCTGTAAATGTGGCTGGAATTTTGAATCCAAGCCCATTTGCTGAGCTAGAGAGGCTTCATTTACGTTCTCTGCCTGAATTGAAGAGCATATACTGGGATGCCCTACCCTTCCCATGCTTGAGAGAAATCATAGTATTCAACTGCCCAAAACTGAAGAAGCTTCCGCTCAACTGTGACAGTGCAAAGGGAAATCAAATCAGCATTGTAGGAAGTGAGGAGTGGTCGAAAGAGGTTGAATGGAAGGATGATGTCACTCGATCTACTTTTTTACACTCTTTCAAACTTCCATACTGATGGAAAGAGCTAGACTGTAAGGATGAAGCCTATCTAAATGCTTTTGACATCCTATTCTAAAGACCGCAGAGGAAAGGTGCGTGATATTTCAGAAGTAATTTTTCCTTTATTTTTCTTTCTTATATTATCATTGTCTTCAAGGTGAGATGGCATGCTAACAATTTGATATAATAAGGTCTCTAAAATTCCTATTCTAGTAGTATTTAATTTATTCATCAATCATTCTAATATTCTTACAACTACAATATTCGCTTCTATTTCTTATGTTTCTTTACTATTTTGAATGTTTAAACTATCTCCAACAGTATTCACAATGAGACCAAAGTCTTCAAAGTTTCTATTGAACAAAGAATAATGCAATATCTTCAACGAAAGGGTGTGGTATAGAAATAGAATTTCGAAGGGCAAGTACTTGGGAATAGATTCTTTCATGATGCACAATCTTCTAACTTGGAGAGGAGTTGCTAAAGGATAAGAGATCTTGAGATAAGTCCTTAAGTGGTGTCTAGCGATTAAGGTTGTGAACAAGAATGTTCCAGTAAATTGAGATGGGGGGAGTGGCTGAGTTTTAAAATGAATATCCACAATAGAATGTGGTTTTCTAGAGAACTTTTACAAATAAATTCACTTCTTATTGTGGCCATGTAGGCCCGAGGGGGTGATGACCAATAAAGAGAGGTGTATGAGGGGAATATGATCAATGATACATCATGCGTGTGAGGGGGTTAAGTTTAAACCATGCACTTAGAAGGTTCTGGTTAGTTGCATAAGCTTGGGGAGTTGTGTTCCAAGGGGATGTGATCTTAGTTTTGCTTCTCTAACCGTTCATGACAGCTAAGTTTATTAGATGGATGATTGTGAGGGAGGGTGGTGTCGTTTGGAATTTGATCCATGTGACCATCCTTGTGTGTTTTTGGTAGGCGAGGGACTCACACTGACATTGGAGATGTTGTTTGCACGGTTGAGAAAACAGGTCATAAAAATTTCATTAGCATTTAAAGTGTATTCATCTAAAGCTTCAGGACAGCCTCTTGGGGTTTCCCACATGCCACCTCTTGAGAATTTGTTTGAAATTAAATACTGAGGAGACAAGTAAGTAAAGCGCTTGGCTAGCCCGTGTTGAGGGTTCAATTGGAGAATGTCAAATAAAGGTGTTACTGTTGGTAAGAGTGATAACTTGTTGGCACAGGCATGAGAATTAGAAGGGGGCTGTTCAGGTGTATGCTTTATGTAAGAGCCCGTTATCGTGGAGCTGCGCTCTAAGACTAGTTGGTCCATGAGGGATGGGGTGGGGAATGGTCTTTGGTTGGCGTTCGCTTTTGAAAATTGCAAGTTTGATTGCAGAAGGAGCTGTTGAGGTGGCATGTGTTTGGCAGAGATCACATGTGTGTAGGTTTGTTGGGAAATGTTGGATAGGTTGTGGTTCTAGGAAATGTAATTTTTGGTACCCTACATCATTAATTGTGGTGTATGATAGGGGATGATATACAGGGAGTGACCTTTTTGCACATACAGCTTTGGAATGTTAACCCCTGTGATGTACCCAAAAAACAAAAGCAAAGTTTTCACTTTAAAAAGGTTTATAGGACTTCCAGGAATTAGTTTTAGTTCTGCTCTTTTCTGTCAAATACTGAATCTTGACAATTCACAGTAATGCTTGCATTCTTACTCTGTGAGTAACCTTGGAACAATCCAACACAGGAATGACTTTTGCATGATCTGATTTTACATAAATGACATATGAGAATGCAAGAATGCTCTTTATACAGAATAATTGGTACATTTATGCTATACACCACATACAGTTTTTAAGACTAATGCATCATAATGATGTAACGGTGTCAGACATGAACTGAATTTCCAAAGAATTCAAATGTTATAGAAGAAAAGAAAAACAACCTTCTGAATCAATAAAGGCTTCAACATTGTGGTGTATGATGTCAATTCATCCAGTATAGCAACTAGTAATTTTCCTTGCTTGGAATGACCCTGAAATCTTAAATTCTTCATCGTCTTCATTACAGTTACAGCAAACACTATATATTTGGGAACAACTACATAAGCACTAATAAATTTTTCTGCACATTTGCATGTCTTCTTATTCTTTGGGCAGAACTGGTGCGTGGACAAGTCAATCAGCTTGATGATAGCTACGTGTATTTAGAAATCAACATTGAAAGAAAGGAGGGATGCTGGAAAGAGATAGAATGGGACGATTTAGGTCTAATAAATTTCTGGAATTTGAAAACAATGAAGAACTTATCACAAAGTTTTGTTGCTTTTTTTCTTTTCTCTTGACAATTTTAGTTTGCGTTGGACCTTTGAGATTGTAATTTGTATGTTCTATTTTGTGTGGTTGTCTTGTTTTTATCATATCCTAAACTTGATATGTTCGGCAAAATTTTTATTTATGTCTATCATTTCATATTTCTCAACTAAAAGGAAACAAGATTAGACCTTTTTTCTTGTAAATTGCTGCATTTTAGTTCTTGTTGTGAGGTTTGTCATCTAAATCGTCGCTGCTTGCTGCATTTGGCGTGGTTGATGGTCAGAAGCTGACTAACGACTAGGCTTGCATTAGAAATTTTGGGATCACAAATGGTGATCACATTTTGTCATGTTGAATATTTTTGTTTAGTTTCAAGGAACTTGTGAATTTTAATAATGGTAGTATTTACAATTTGGAAGGTTCGACTGAACCATAGCCAAAAAGTTGTATGTTTTTGATCATGGGTACATTTTTTAATAAATTTAATTATTTGAAATAACAATGCTTGTTACATCATTGTTGAATATCTAGTTACAACAAAGTTAGCATTCTTAACTTGGTTAACACATTACAACACAAGAATGAAATTTCAAACAGCCCAACTACCAAAATCAATCTTTGTCTGTTCATATGGATTATGGTACTGGAGACTCCCATGTAAGCATATAGCCTAGTTTCTTGCCCACATGAAATTCTAATGTAATTCATTATCATTAAATTTTTCTTAAGGATTGTGTATTTTTTTTTAATATATACTTTTTAATACATAATACATTGAAGTTTATAGCAACTTCAAAAGGAGCCTTTCTTAAGCTATGAGCATTATTAAAATAGGCCTTCATAACAAAAAGAAGGATAAGTTTCTAACAAACACTTTAGTTGCCTATGGTGAAAAATAAATTGTTGGGAAATTGGATTTAGAAAGGTTAAATGCAAACATTCAATTTGAGACAGAAGAAGTATATATTAATGGTTTCAGTGTGTAGCATTAAAATTTTAACACTGAACTTTATATAAGACTTTGGCCTCCCCCAAACTAAAAATCCTGTTTCTGTCCTTGTGAAGAAGTTAGCAAAACATAAAAAAGTTTGTTTTCTCTCACCAGCTACATAAGGAAGAGATAAAGAGTAGGGCTCAAGAGGTATTCTCAATAAACAGCCAAAAAGATGAGCAATTGAACTAAACTGCAAGTTAACGAAGTCATAAAGCATTTAAACACCACAAACTCCTAAAGACATGCATGGACGCATAGAGAGGTCAGCAACAATTAGGAGCATCATACCAGTCGAGAATAAATTATCAGCTGAACTACAAAACAAAGAGAAAGGAATGGCAAATGAATGGATATCTGGTGATACAGGCAAATGATTTGGGCGCATAACATAAAGCCGCACCTTGCATTGACCATTTCAAGCATCGCACTTGTCGGCTGCTAAGCCCAATCTCACGGCAGTATCTGTTTACCTGAGGATAACAAGACCATCAATAATGCCTATTCATATAAGGTTTGCTTACATATGCAAACAAGGTAATTGCCTATAAACAGATTTTCCAAATTTACAGGCAGTTCAACACATACAACAGCAATTTTACATGTGGTCATGAGTCAAGTGCCAAAACATGGGCATCGCCTGCAAAACCAAAAGAAAAAGCGCTTTCTGGACCCTATGACTAAACATCACGATTCAAAAGCTTCAGTCTACTCAACTTGAACTCCCTAGTTCTATACATGAGGATAGCATCTCTTGTCCTTTCAAAGCTTTCTCATAATCTTTTGCAAATAGAAATTTATTCCCTACAAGAAGCATGAACATCAATGAAGAAAGTCCCCCAAAAGCAAGGCAATTACATCGTAAGAATCCCCAAGAAAGAAATCCGAATTTTTCAGATAAAATCTTAGAGGTTGAATAATGGGTAGACAGCATTACCAGCTTGCTCATGCAAAACAGTAGCACTTTTCCAATTAGCACTCCACCTTGTAAGACCCAGCTTTGTTCTACACATACAGACAGAGTGAAAAAAAGTTGGGTGATACTTATTAATTGATTTTGCCTCAAACCAATTTGATAAATTAACAATAAAAGGGATGGGAAAGGATTGTATCGGATATCAAATAACAAACTTCAAATCCAAGAATCTTAGGTTGTAATTTACAACAAATTCTTCTACGAATATATAAGTAAGATTTTTGCAGAGAGGACGGATAGAGGAGGAGGCTTACAGCTTATAGGCATGGGAGATGAGCTTGTTGGCCTTGGCCCCTGATGCTCCACCTCACCTCCTCCTTCCCATTCCCTCAGGCATGGGTTCTAGCAACCCCACTGCTGGATGGCAATGGGCCATTCAATCTTTGGTACTCGATATATTTGGATTTCTTTGGGATGAATTTGCATAGGCAGTTTGCTACCTCTTTTGAATTCCGGTAAGATATGAGTATCATAGTTATTTATATCATTATTCCTTGTATTTTAGAACTTGTTTGTTGATAATTAGGAGGAAACTTGAATTTTAATTTCAATATTTGTTTAATTTTGCTTTTTATAATTAGTGGAAGCGGATAGGATATAATGTAGCAACGAAGGAGCTAATTTATTTCAATTTATATGTTTATTTATTAGTAAATTACATATATTAGATGTGAAACAAAATTTTTTTCATTTGAGTTTAGATTCGGGTCAATTAATCCATACACATAAACTAAAAGAGTTCAAATAATCAAACATTTAACGAAGATGTGTATTTAATTTGAATCAAGTTTGAATAGTAAATATTAACGATATATTTATAAAATTTAAATATCTTAATAAATAATAAAATTTGAGTATAAATGTTTTAAACATAACAAGTATTCTATACGTTGTAATTCTTAGTTCTCATCTCTTATGCATTCAATCAACTCATAATAAAAATAAAAATAAAAAAGAATTTTAGACATTACTAATAATTATGTATGCATATTATACTTTATTAATAACTAGTTATGGGATAAAGTGCCTTGCATGTGATTGTATATGTTAGAATTATCGTTTTTAAAAAATTATTATAAATTGGAGTAAAATTATGTTGAATAATTAAATAATTCAATTTGATTAATGCACATAGGTATATAGAATTATATATTTTTAATAAAATTTCATATAATAATTAGCATTATACAATAATCATAGCAAATAAAACTTAATTAGATAAGACTATGAAATAGGAAATAGTCCTCTAGTTTTTCTTGTAAACTTTTTTTCTTTTTGAATGTAGTAATAATGCTAGTCTTATATATAAAGGGTATTTTTCATTATTAGTAATATCATAGAAGAAAATAGGTTAAATTATGAAATAAGTCTTTGTACTTTATAAAAGTGGTGGATTTAGTCCTATACAATAATTTGTAAAAATTGAGTCTCTATACTTTCTAAGATTAACAATGTCAGTCGTTAACAATATTAAAATTTTTTTATTATTTATGTTGATATGACATTTTTTTTATTGATGTGACATTGAGTATGATGATATATTAATGATAATGTGTTAAATTTTTTATTTGTTTCATAATATTCTTTTATTATTTTAAATTATAGAGCATAAAAAATAATCAAAATACCTTAACAATTTACGTGCTAGTACATTTTCTTCAATTTAGTTTCTCTACTCAAAATAATAATAATTTAGTCCATTGATTTTGATAATTACTTTAATTTAGTTTCTCTAATTTTTTTTTTCTGAAATTACCCTTTACAAAGTTGACGTTAGCACTGACATGGCACTACTTGTCGACATGGCATGTGAAGAGAGCTAGAAATGCTGATGTGGCAATGCCACATCACTCTAACATGTTTTATATGGCAGTACCACGTGGCATTAATATGCTGACATGGATATGCCACATGGCATGTCAGGGAAGGCATTACGTGTCAAACTCTCCATCAACAAACATCCATAACACGCCACATGGCATGACAAGAGAACGACACGTATTTCTTTCTTATTTTCTCTGAAACTATTACAGGTTATTGAGTTTTAAAGCCAAAACCTTATACAAATACAACAAACTCATTGCCACCGACTCTAAACTTTTGCATTTAATTATATATTGCTTTCGTTTATTTTCTTCTTTCCTTTCCTTTTTTATTTTTTTTTTCTCTCATCTCCCTTCTCCTTTAAGTACCAAACATTGGTCACTAGTCACTAATTGGCAATTGTTGACAATGGACGTTTGTCATCAAACACTGATTGTCAATCACCAAATGCCTATTGTTGATCGTCAAACATCAACCATCGATTGTCTATCTTTAAGAGAGAAATTAGGAAGAGAGAGAAAAAAAAGAAAGAAAAAGAGAAAAGGAAAAAAGATAAGAAATACAAATAATATATAATCAATTGTAAGGGTGTAAAGTCGATGGTAAGGCGTTTATTGCATTTGCATGAGGTCTTATTTTTGAAACTCAACAACGCACAATAATTTGGGAGAAAACAAAAAAGAAATACATGTCGCTCTCTTGTCATGCCACATGACGTGTCATAGATGTTTACTGAAGGAGTCAAAAGAAAAATATTAAAAAAACTAAAAGAGTCGTAAGAAAGATATTAGAAGAATTAAATTGAAATAATTTTCAAAATTAAATTATTACGATTTTAAGTAAAGGGACTGAATTGAAGAAAATGTACTAATTCAAAGACTGTTGAGGTATTTTGACCTATAAAAATTCCATTGTTGTTTGCCTTATTACATTTTTTTCCTAAATCCTAAAAATCTATTTATATTTTTAATATGTTTCTTTCTCAATCTGGTTTAAAACCATTAGTTCACATTAGATAACTTCAAGTTTGCACTTATAAATTCCATGTCAGAGCTTGGTCACGTTATATCAACACTATTATTGCATCATTCATGAAATGCCACTTCATCATTAAAATGTCATTAGATTTAATGTCATGTTAGTAAGAAAATGTCATATCAATATAATCAAACGTCAGTATAGATATTAGAAATTTTTAACACATTGGACTAACATTGTCAATTTTGAAAAGTACATGGACTCAATTTTTATAAATTATTGTATAAGGATTAAATCCATTACTTTAATAGAGTATAGGGACTAATTGTAAAATTTCACCAAGAAAATAAATAATAAAATAAAAGATAAAATACCTTTACCCTTATAAGTTTTAATTGAAATTGCTTAAAGGTCTATTAATTTTCAAAATGGACACTCTGCCTAAAAAAAATATTTTTTGCTGGACACGTAGGTCTAACTATTAGTCAACTGTTAGGTGATATTTGGTATTTTACAGTACAATATGATTACAAGTAATGTAATTACTGCAAGTAATATGATTGTAAGCAATGCAAGTAATATGATTGCCAGATAACATTGTAGCTTTTGGTTTATAAGTACTTTACTTCGAATGTAATGTTAATTTTCAAAATTACTCTTATTTATTAAAATATAAGTGTAATATACTTGTATTTTTTATTATTAATTTTAGTATAATATCATTGTTAAATATATTTTTAATGTTATACATTTTATTTTTATTTTTATTATAATATTATATATTTTATTTTTATTTCTTTAATATAATTTTTTATATTGTATATTTTATTTTAATTTCTTCTACTTATATTACATAAATTTTAGTTTTTTATATTATATTTTATTTTAATTTTTAATTCTTATATTATATATTTTATTTTAATTTTTTTATTTTAATTATAACATTACAAAATATTTTTAACAAAGTAATAAAGTTGAAAGGTAAAAATATCTTTAATAACATTGCAGAGTGTAATATTATGTGATTACATTGTTTTTGGACTGCAATAACATTATATCCCTTGGTTGTAATACGATTGCATTTCATTTTTACATTGTAGCGGTATGTTGTAAAACAAACATTATAATATATTAATTGAATACATTGCATGAAATGTGCTTCTACTTCCCTCATACCAAATGCTACCTTAGTATTTTTGTCAATTTACTAACGTGGCAAGAATAAAAAAATAATTTTACCCTTAATTAATTTTTATAATTACTATTATATAATAATATTATTTTTATATTAATTAAAAAAGAGATGCCTTCTTTTTTTTATTTTTTTAAAATATAATAATATTTTTTAAATTAATAAAGAAAGAAAAAGCATTTTAGTCTTTTCATAATTTTTGTCAACGATATTTGCACTCTTGGTGTGAAGTGTCTATTTTTAAAACTAATAGACCTTCATATAATTTCGATCAAAATTTAAAAAATAAAAATATTTTTACCCTAAAATAAATGTGTGCTCTATAGATCGGAGATGTATTGCTTCACTAACAATGGTATATGGTGTAAATGACAATTCAATTTTCTTATGAACATTAATAAATTTGTCAAATATTTCCTTTTGGATGTTTGGTTCATTATATAAAATTAATCTATGAATATGTATAATTGATAATTAATTTATAATAGAAATGTATAAATTATTTAATATTATTTTTATTAAAATAAATATTTTTATTGAAAACCATTTAATAATGAGATATAATTTATTACTATTTATTAAAAATATTTTTAATAACAGTCATTTTGATATAATGAGAATTTTTAATTATAAATTGAAAAAATATTGTTCGCATAGATTATAGAAAGTTCATCAAAGGAAAAATATTCAAATCTTCTACTTTACTCCTCTTAAACAAATAAAATTAAAAATATTTTAAGATTATGCAGATAACCGAAAAATAACTTGATAAAAGAATTTTTTTTATGCAAATAATTTTATCAAAAATTTAATATTTTTTCTGTAATATGAAAGTGGTCATGCATGTTAGACAAATGTTTACATGTTACAGCACTCTACACTGATTCTTCTTCTTCTTTTCCTCTTTTATCAGATAGTAACGTATGGCACTCTTTTCAATCCTTCGTTTTTCTTTCTCTCTTTGAATGCATTAAGCATCGAAAATGTGAGAAACTGCCTCTTCGCTCTCCCCTATATAACAACTTCCCTCGTGGCTTATGGTCTGGCACGACCATCGAGAGAACAGACAGCCAGACGGAAAGCTTTCATTCAATTCCAAGGGCATGCAAATTGTCTATATAAGATCAATGCCTCCCAGCTTTTCAACATAGCAAAAACATGGTCATGGCTTGTAAAACTTGTTCAATGTTGTTGCTGTTTCTAAGCCTGGTTCTGGTCATCAACCTTGTGCCTCAGAGTGATGCAGCTCGCCGGCTTGCCGACGAGATGATACCCAAAGATCAGGTGGCTGGACTGGGAAACAAAGAGGAGGCCAAGATGAAGAGCTTTGGGGAGATGAAGAACTCGCCACCCTTTCCCTTTCCTTTACCATTTTCCTTACCGGACATGCCGTTTGCACCACCCCTTCCTCAAGTTCCGATTAACCAGCTCCCTCCATTCCCATTTCCACCTCCCTTTGGTGTTCCTCCATTCCCATTTCCACCTCCCTTTGGTCTACCTCCATTTGGTCTACCTCCATTCCCTGGTTTTCCTTTCCCTCCTGTCGCTTTTCCTCCCATCCCTTTCTTCTCACCTCCTCCTCCATGATCATTAGTTGAATAAGTTTTTAGTTATGTAACAATCATCTTCTGCTTGTAAACTCTGGGTTTTGAACATGTTCTTTTGCTAGTTTACCTCTTCTGCTGTTTCATGTTCCTTGCCTGTATTTAAATATGTGCCAAGTGGAAAAATTGTTTCTTTTGATAAAGTATGGTAAGTTATGTATGATAATGGATGCTTTTAACAATTTTTTTAATATATTAAATCTTAAATCGTAAAAAATAAACAAACCCTATAGCCTTTCTTTTTAGATTATTTTAATACAATTCTTTTCTTTTTATTTTAATTGATCTTTAACTCTCAATTGATATTTGACACTGCATGGAACAGAAAAGAGAGGCCTTAAAGGAACAAATTCAAAAATAAAAAAACGCCAATATATTCAAGGTTATCCATATATAATGCTAACAATGATAAGTAAAAGAAATTTTATTTATGCTTTTTGTTTGAACGAGTACAATTTCGAGTATGAGATATTCGAATTAAACTCTTTAAATACTTTCTCGTACATATTCAGGTGCAGATAGATATTATGAGAGATTTACAGGTTGTCCTGCACCTCACTCGGTGGAGCTAGGCGTGTGGATGGAGGTGATGGAGTGACCGGAGAAGATAAAGGCAGGGTGGGGATGAAAGGAAAAGGAGGAAATTGGGGTAGAGAAGGCAAGCTAGGAAATGGGAAAATTGGTGCATAGTTAGTGTCCATAGAGGCAGGAGGGGGCAGTGCTGATGAGTCTTGGAAAAATGGGAATGTTGGTAGCACTGAGTCATCATCACCTGGTACTGTTTGTGTTGGTGTAGCGAAATTGGGTTTGCTCAAAAGCTCCGAGGGCACTGAGTCAGCTCCAAATTGGACTGTCAATGGCTTTTCAAGCTTTGGCAAATGGCGAGATGCTGAGCATAGAAGGAAAAGAGAAAAGATGATGTGGAAATGGAGGAGATTAAGAGAGAAAGCCATTGATGAGTTAAGCTTGAGGATGTGTAAGTTAAAAAAAAAAGTAATGAGGTTTTTTATAGGCAAAGGCGTGTGCTGAATGCATGGTTAGTGTTCACTTGATGCATGAGAAGTCTACTTTGAACCTAATAACATATTGTCAAAGTTTTGTATCTTGACCTTTGACTGATCTTGAAACTATGCGAAAGTTTCTTTTTATTAATAAAATTAAATGACTTGGAAGTAAAAATAATAATAAAAATCTTATAGGAATAAAGAAAGTCTAGAAATAAAATATATTTCTGAAATTAAAAATAAATACCTAATTATTAGGTTACTTTAAAATTATTATATACAATAAGAACATGTTCGATTCTATGGAATAAAATAATAATTTCTCATTATTTTGTTAATAGAATGATCAATTTTAGAAAATCCCCATCCTTCCCTCGATAAACTATTTTGCTTGATTGGGAATAGGTTAACTTTTTTATGCTTACAAAAATGCTTTTTAATTAATTTGATAAATTAAAAAAATTAAAAAACTCTTAAATTTAAAAAACCAAACTAACTTCCATTAATTTAATCAAATTCGAGTTAAAATGAAATCTCATAATTACTTAATTAGTATTAATTAAAATATTATTTATTAATAAATTAATATTTTTTAATATATATTATTTTTTACTTTTTATATTAATGATATATCAACGTAATAAAATAATAAATAATATTTTAATTAATAATAATTTATTTAATTTAAAATTAAATTTTATAAAATTTAATTAAATATAATTTAATTAAATATAATTTAAAAAATTCTATTTAGTATAAAATTTTTTACTCACCAAAAAAATAATATGTCACTCGTCTACCATTAAAAAATCTAAACTCCGCTTTTAGTTTTTTTATTCTGTCTCCCTCAGATCTGCTTCACTCCTTCTCGCTCTAAAGCAGACTGCGGCTCAACTCCCCCGCCGGCCGTTCCCGCCAAAACCCAGTTTTCTCATTGCCTTTTGCCGCCGTCCGTTCATTTTCCTTCTTTCCATCTCCTTATCTACCGGTGAGCATTCATGTCTACCAATTTCAGCGTCTCCTCTGATTTTGTTTTGTTTTTTTTTTTTTATTTCCTGAATGTAGAAGCAAAGGCTGCTTGTAGACAGTTTTGAGAGTTCTTGTGAACCTTATAATACTGATTGTGTATGAAAAAAGTTTTGAGTTCCATTATTTCGTCGAATTGCTGGCAATGGCAATTCCAGACGCTTCTGCCATATTTGCTTTCAGCTAATCACTCATTTTCCTCTCAAAATGTAGATCCAGTTAGCTCTTCAGACTTGCCTCTCCTCCCATTTTATTTTTTATTTTTTTAAAGAAATCTGATTGCAGCTTTTTTTTTTTGCTGTTTTTGTTTTGTTTTCAATATTGGATTTTGTTATCATGATTGATTAGTTTTAGCAGTACTTATCTTTGTATTTTGTATTTTATATTTTATTGAATCTTTGTTGTTGATCTTCTATTCAAAAAAAGAAGCTGAAATGATTTTGGGATTCTGGGCTAGTTAAGAATCAACTGTTTCTTGATGTTTTCAAAATTTTTGACGCCCTTAAATTTTTTACTCTGCATTCCAGTATGTTCGCATAAAATGGCTTAGAATAATTTTAATATCTGAAAAACTAGTTGGGTTTTGGTTGGAATGGAATTCTTCATTTCTGTTTGAATAAGAGAGTAGGACAGAGGGATATTATTGTGGGAAATTAGTGTTTGGTAGAAGATAATGCAAGTAACTTATTAGAATTATCTACTTTTTAATCTGATTTTGAACTGTTAGTGGTTTTTTTTTTTAACTATTAATTATCACCTAAAATTATTCTTTTATCTAATCATGAAAATAAAAGTTTAACCTTCATAGTTGCATTTTTCATAAGGGAAAATATATGAAAATTTAATTTTTTACCCCTTCTTATTGTGGGAAATTAGTTTTTGGTAGAAGATAATGCAAGTAACTTATTAGAATTATCTACTTTTTAATCTGATTTTGAACTGTTTGTGGTTTTTTTTTAACTATTAATTATCACCTAAAATTAATCTTTTATATAATTATGAAAATACAAGTTTAAACCCTCATATTTGCATTTTTCATAAGGGAAAATATATGAAAATTTAATTTTTGACCCCTTCTTTAAAGTTTTTATTCAATTTGAGTGGGGTCAAGGAAAAAACCAAAATTTTCCTTGAAAATGTATGTATGTATATATATATATAGTAACTTGTCAAAAATTGACCCCACTCACATACACCCCTGCTCATCATCAACACAAGCAATTGCATAGTATTATTATGGTACACCAGCAGAAGCATAGACAAATTTCTAAGGAGAGATATATTTGAATAAAATATTTCATAATCTGAAGAAACCACACGCACCATGTATTCAATTCAAGATATGAATACAGATTTAAATAAAAGACAAAGGTTGTGTATAGATAAATGACATCCGAGGTCTCCTCGTACTTGAATAGTTTAATCATTGCTGTTTTAACTTTCTCAAGGATCTGCAACCTGAAAAGAAAATTGGAAATATGAATCAGTTTGTATTAATTTTCCATTACAAAGTTGCACGAATTTTGAATCCATCTTAGACATTATATTTGCAATTTGTGATCAAAATTGTCACAGAATATTATTTGGACTTTGGGATCTTCCAACCCAAGGCGATGGATACCTCGTCTGTGCTTTTTAACCAGCTCAAGGTGATGGTTTTCCCACTTAGCTTCTTCTTCTTCTTCTTCCATTTTTTTTTTTAAAAAAACTAAATTAGTAATTTATATGGATAAATGTTGAATTTCAGGGTGCTGAGCCATTTTTCTTATTTGCTGGTCCCAATGTTATTGAATCTGAAGATCATATTCTAAGGATGGCTGAACACATCAAGACTATCACTACCAAGTATGGTATTTTTTGAAGCAGTGCCTTAAATTTGTACAAAAAGTCTTGACATTGATTACTTTAGTAGCAAACATACGAAAGGTGTAATATCTTTGTTTTGGAATTTTTGTAGGCTTGGGTTGCCTCTGGTTTTCAAGTCAAGCTTTGACAAAGCTAACCGAACGTCCTCCAAATCATTTCGTGGTCCAGGAATGGCTGAAGGCTTGAAGGTTTTTTGTTTTAATTTTTTATTAATGCCTTTGTGCAATACTTAGAGTGTGGACGTATGCCTTCGATTTAGATCATCTCATCACAGAGAAGTCTGTTGTTGTTATAAGATTTTTTTTTTATCAATAAAAATTGTTGCATGCTCTTGTGTTATTCCAATTGATATGCATGATAATGTTGGGAAAAAAGGTGTAGTAACATTGATACTTGGGAGTTGTTACATGGCTGCTTTAGTTACAATGTATGATAATTGATACATGGTTGCTTTCATTGTATTTTATCTATGATTCTATGGTTACTTACTGCTACATCCGTCCATGTAGCTATGTTCGTGTAATTTTTAATGAGAATATGCTGAGTTTGGTTTTAAGATTGTTATTGAACTTCTGGTGTGTTTCGACATTGCTAGAGTTCGTTTTTCCCTACTATTCCATGACAATTTTGTTCAGGACTTACAAATATAATGTCTAAGATGAATTGAAAATTGTGATAATATATTCATATCTTCAATTTCCTTCTGGGTTGCAGATTCTTGAGAAAGTTAAAGTAGCATATGACATTCCTATTGTAACTGATGTCCATGAAACTATTCAGGTATGAGGAAAGCTGGAATATCATCTATTTATACACTTTGTCATTTATTTTAAATCTATGCTTATGTCTTGATTTGGATACATGGTGTGTGTGATTTTTGCGGATTATGAAATATTTTAATCCAATATATCTCTATTTAGAAATTTTTCTATATTTTTGCTGGTGTACCCATAACTATACTGTGCAATTGCTTGATTTGATGATGAGTAGGGGTGGAGCTAAAATATTGAGAAGTTACTGGATATATATACATCGTCATGGAAAATTTTGGTATTTTTCCTTATGACACTACTAAAATTGAATAAAA